ATTTATAGCTGGAATGCAGTGAGGAGCTGGGTGACATTGTTAAGGCCCACGACCTTACCTTGGCACTCTCTGTGTACTTGCGCGCAAACGTGCCTTCAAAGGTAATGCGAATCCGACTTCTGATAAGATGATTTGGTTTAACGGTTCTTTGCAGGTCATTTCTTGCTTTGCAGAGACTGGACAGTACAACAAAATCATTCTGTATGCCAAGAAGGTCGGCTACCAACCGGACTACCAGTATCTTCTCCAGTACATCCTTCGCTTGGACCCTGACAAGGGTGCCGAGTTCGCCTCCTTGCTCGTGAACGACGAGGGCGGACCGGCGCTCTCTGTTGAACAGATCACGGATGTGTTTACTGCCATGGGAATGGTTCAACAGGCCACCTCTTTCCTGTTGGATGCGCTCAAGGATAACAAGCCCGAACATGGAGCGTTGCAGACCAAACTTCTCGAGATGAACTTGCTGAACTACCCGCAAGTCGCCGAAGCTATCTTGGGCAATGAGATGTTCACGCATTACGATCGTGCGTACATTGCGACTCTCTGTGAGAAGGCTGGGTTGTACCAACGGGTAAGGAGACGAAGTCGCTGTAACTCTCGGGATTTGGTTCAATGTATTAATTCCAGGCGTTGGAGCATTACACTGACATCTACGATATAACTCGTACGATCGTGCACACCAACTTATTGAATCCTGAGGTAATATTCTATTCCAACGGCAATGAAAGTTGCTAAACGTAGCGCATGTTTCCAAGTGGGTTGTGAACTACTTTGGTCGTCTCACTGTCGAGCAGTCAATTGCCTGTCTTCGTGAAATGCTTGCGAACAACATGCGTCAGAACCTTCAGGTGGTTGTGCAGGTGGCCACCAAATACTCGGATCACTTGGGTGCTCAGCAGCTCATCGAGCTCTTTGAGAATGCAAAGACCTCTGAAGGTGAGAGCATGGTTATCCGTTCAACATTTTTGTCTGACAGGACTTCGATGTCAGGCTTGTACTACTACCTTGGCTCCGTTGTCAACCTTAGCGCCGACCCTGAAGTTCACTTCAAGTACATCCAAGCCGCCTGCCGTACTGGCCAGCTGAAGGAAGTCGAACGCATTTGCCGTGAGAGCAACGTGTACGACCCTGAGCGCGTGAAGAACTTCTTGAAGGAAGCAAAGTTAAGTGATCAGCTCCCGCTGATCATTGTCTGCGATCGCCATAACTTTGTCCACGACCTCGTTCTCTTCCTGTATCAGAACAACCTGTACAAGTACATTGAGATCTACGTGCAAAAGGTGAACCCGGCTCGCACTCCTCAGGTCATCGGAGCGCTTCTCGACGTTGACTGTGACGAGAGCGTCATCAAGAGCCTTTTGTCGTCTGTCCGCGCTCAGAGCGTGCCGGTTAGCGAGCTCGTGGAGGAAGTCGAGAAGCGTAACCGCTTGAAGATGCTTGCGCAGTGGTTGGAAGCCCGTGTTTTGGAGGGTGTTACGGACTCGCATGTTTACAATGCAATTGCCAAGATTTACATTGACACCAACAACAACCCAGAGCGATTCCTTCGCGAGAACCAGGTAGGACAATTATGGAAATTGCAATATGGGAGGTCATGACTAATGATCATATTACAAGTTCTACGATGCGCTTGTGGTCGGCAAGTACTGCGAGAAGCGTGACCCGTACCTTGCCTTCATTGCATACGAACGCGGGCAGTGCGACATGGAGTTAATCAACATCACCAACGAGAACTCAATGTTCAAGCACCAGGCACGTTACCTGGTGAAGAGGCGCGCACAGGACCTTTGGACGTACGCTCTGCGTCCTGACAACCACCACCGCCGTCAGCTTGTTGACCAGGTATCTGATTACGCGGAAAGAAGCATTTTTAAGGTTATTTATACAGTGTCCAAAATTTAGGTCGTTGCCACCGCGCTCCCAGAGACACAGGACCCTGAAGATGTGTCTGTTACTGTCAAGGCTTTCATGAGTGCGGAACTGCCAAACGAGCTCATTGAACTTCTCGAGAAACTGGTTTTGGAGGGCTCCGCATTCAGCGACAACCGCAACTTGCAGAACTTGCTCATTCTTACCGCTATTAAGGTAACTTGTCATCACTATATCGACGTTGAACGTTTGCTCAGAGGTGTTTCCACAGTCTGACAAGACCCGTGTGATGGACTACATCACCCGTCTTGACAACTTTGACGCACCTGACATTGCAAACATTGCTGTCGGCAGTGAGCTGTTCGAGGAAGCGTTCACGATCTACAAGAAGTACGACCAGCATGTCAACGCCGTTGTGGTCCTTTTGAGTAACATTGGGAACTTGGACCGTGCGTACGAGTACGCCGAGCGTGTCGACAAGCCTGAAGTGTGGAGCAAGTTGGGCAAGGCGCAACTCGAACGCTTCTTGCTGAAGGAGGCAATCGGTACGCGGGGAGACTAAATCTGGTAGATTTTAACACTGACCCCTCTTTTCAAGATTCATACCTCAAGGCGGATGACCCAACCAACCACGTCGAAGTCATTGGCGTCGCCAACCAATCCGGCAAGTACGATGAACTTGTCCGGTTCCTCCAGATGGCACGGAAGAAGATCCGCGAGCCGCTTGTTGAGAGCGAGCTTGTGTACGCGTTCGCGAAGACAAACCGTTTGATTGAGCTTGAGGAGTTCATTTCCAGCCCGAACATTGCACAGGTATTTGACACCAATCCCTGAATATAGGTGGATGCTTATCTGCTCGGAACAGATCCAGAACATTGGCGAGCGCTGCTACGAGAACAAAATGTTCGAAGCTGCGAGGATTCTGTTCACGAATGTTTCAAACTGGGCACGCTTGGCGACTACCCTTGTTCACCTCAACGAATTCCAAGCTGCTGTCGATTGTGCTCGAAAGGCGAACTCCACAAAGTGAGTAATCAACGACTGTTTATCCTTATAATCTTGCTGATGCGTTTGTTGAAAAAAAGAGTTTGGAAGGAAGTCAGTGCGGCGTGCGTGGAGAACCAGGAGTTCCGGCTTGCCCAAATCTGTGGTTTGAACTTGATCATCCACGCCGAAGAGCTCGAGAACTTGATCCGCCAATACGAACGTCGTGGATACTTTGAGGAGCTCATGTCGCTTATTGAAGCCGGACTTGGTCTCGAGCGTGCACACATGGGCATGTTCACCGAACTCGGCATTCTTTACTCCAAGTACCGCTCAGACAGGCTGATGGAGCACCTCCGACTCTTCTGGCAGCGCATCAACATCCCCAAAGTGATTCGAGCGTGTGAGAACGGTCACTTGTGGAGTGAGCTGGTGTTCCTGTACACGCACTACGACGAGTACGACAACGCCGCTTTGACGATCATGTCGCACTCAGCTGATTCCTGGGAGCATGCCACATTCAAGGACATTGTTGTGAAGGTCGCAAACATTGAGATTTACTACAAGGTTGGGGCCAAAATCCTCTCTCTGTGTGTAAGTTAGCTGGATTTAAACACTCTTCGCTGCAGGCTCTGCGCTTCTATCTTGAGGAGCAACCTCTTCTTCTGAACGACCTCTTGGTGGTCTTGACACCACGCATTGATCACACTCGCGTTGTGTCTATGTTTACGAAGACGAACAACTTGCCTTTGATCAAGCAGTACCTGATTTCTGTGCAGCAGGTCAGCAAAGGAAGCTTTAGAATTTAGTGGTATTCCTGAAATGCAAATTTTTAATTCATCCCAGGCGAACAACCAAGCTGTGAACTCAGCATATCATGATCTGTTGATTGAGGAGGAGGACTACAAATCTCTCCGTGACGCAATCGACAATTTTGACAATTTTGACAATATTTCGCTTGCCCAACGTCTTGAGAAGCATGAGCTGATTGAGTTCAGGCGTATCGCCGCTCACCTCTACAAGGTATTTCGAATGTCGTTATTGATGTTTTGTGTGTTAAGCCTGAAACTTTTCCAGCGCAACAAGCGGTGGAAGCAATCTATTGCACTTTCAAAGACGGACAAGCTGTTCAAGGATGCAATGGACACCGCAGCAGAGTCGAAGGACAGTGAGATTGCAGAGGAGCTTCTGCGCTACTTTGTCTCGATCGAGCGCAAGGACTGCTTCACCACTTGTCTGTATGCCTGCTACGACCTTCTTCGCCCAGACGTTGTTTTGGAGGTCGCATGGAGACACGGCTGGCAAGACTTTTCAATGCCGTTCATGATTCAGGTCATGCGCGAGTACTTCACAAAGGTAACTTTTCTGACATTCATTAGTTTTCGTATTTATAATGGACACGGGTAGGTTGACACACTGGAGAAAGTTAACCAAGAGCTTCTAACGAAGAACGAGGAGAAAGAAAAGGGTACAGCAAGCAAACTGGGATTTATGATTCGTTCCGTGCTAACATTGTATTGCTTCCAGAGTCGACTCTTATCACTCCGGGCGGAGTCGGCAACCCACTGATGTTGACCTACGGGTCACCAGCACCGTATGGAGGAGCAGCACCTCCGGGAGGCATGGGTTTCCCGGCCAACGGCTACGGTGGATTCTGATGAAGGGTTCGTGATGGTGAACAGGAGAGGGAAGATATTTCGACTTCATATTATCTTTTTAAAACCACACCACGTACTTTCTCAGTGTTTCAAAGAAAAAAAGAAATGCATGTCAGCGACTTGATGAACATGTTGCTGTTATGTGTGCAATTATAAGCTTTTGGTCACTTTTTCATGTTATAGTAGTAGGCCTTCGAGTAAGTTGGATGCCGTGTTTAATCGTTGGACTTCATGAGTTTTCTTGCTTCTTTTCTCCCACATTTTCTTCAAATCTGTTTTGGTTTCCGACCCGGAACACCAAAGGCCACTTCATATTTTTTTTTTTACTTTCAGATTCGCTGATAATTGAAGTCGATTCTTCCTTTCTTCACTCTAACTGTCTGCGGTAATATTTTGAGTGAACAATGAATTTCATGGAAGATGTAATTTCATAATAGGGCACTATTCAAAGGTTCTGTTCATAAAGTATCTTTTGAAACCAACAGCTGTGCTCCTGTAGCTCAGTAGGTTTAGAGCGTGGTGCTTATAGGGGTGATCCTCCTATGCTACGCCAAGGTCGGGTGTTCGATCCTCCCCTGGAGCACAAATGCCACACCATTGCCACCGCCCTATTAATTGGTGATAACTTTTGTGCATAAGAAGAAAAGAGGTGATTTTTGAGGGTGTAAGAGGAGATGAATAGCTCTGAATGTCATTCTGAATATAATCCAAAAATTCTATAAATGTACAAGAAAAACTGTCACTTGGAGTTTTTGATTGCATTAAGCGAAGCGGCCGAGGCGGGACCAGCGTTCTTCAACACCTTTCCACGCTGGTGTTCAACCTCTCCGGCAGTTTGGGTACCCAATGCGTTGTCGATGCGGGCAATAACGAATTGAAGGTAGAACTTCACCCCCTTAAAAACCAGAACATTGAGGAAACACACAGCGCTGTCAGAAGCGAACGAACCTTGATACGCTGAAGGGTCCCAGTAACTTTCTTGCTATCCGACTCCCTCACGGCGACTTCGTTGGCAAGGTAAACATTGAGAGCGTTGCGGAGGCGGGCAATCTGTGTGCTCGCCAGACTGGTCTTGGTGAGTTTTGTTGTGGAAACGGGGAACACTCGGAGGGCAAAGTCGAGCTGGTTCTCGTTGGGGGAGGCGTTAACGTCGACAGAGGAGAAGCGAAGGTTCCCGGCGATGAAGTCGGGAAGGCCGGTTATAGCTAATCTCTTGGAGTTGTCGGACTTGACGACACCAGCAAGCTGCTGCTTGACCTTGGCGACTTCGGGAGGGAGCACGGCAGCGGAAGCGAGTGCGAGCAATGTGCCGAAAATGGCCAACAACAGTGGGAGACGAGCGTGCATCTTGAGTATGGAATAGGCAAGTTGGGGACCCTCAACTGAATTTTTTTGCGGCTCGTTTTGCCGCACACAAGAATTTTTTTCGGACGTGTGGGAGAGAAGACACTCCAGTTATGCGTTGAAATATATTTTGTGAAAGAGATGAAATACAATAGCGAAGTTGGTTATCACCAGTTCCGTAACATCCGGCTCTATCTTTGCTGGCTTGTTCTTGTCGTGAAAGGAGGCGATTGCAACGTATCGATCATTGTACCTGAACAAAGTCATCTTTTGACAAGCTCCCTGATCAAGCCTTTTGTGTTGTGTAGTTGGACAGGCCGCAACAACTTACTTAAGGGGCGGGTTTTCGGGTCATCTGCGTCAGGGTCAAGAAATTTTTCAGGTCTGATCCGGTCAGTTATCGAGTCAAGATGCTGTTATCAACCTTATAGTAAACCTTCACTAGGCCGCCTCAACCGCTCTGTAGTCCGACATGCTATCAACATCTGCAGCTGATGAAAGCATTGATGGTTGAACCGATCCAGCTGCAGGCTCCCGTTGCGCTGAAGAGTCAGCAACACTATGTGCTGCATCCTTGTGGTTTTGTTGCTGATTGATCCTGCCGTTGCCAAATCATAGGTGCTTCGTATATGTGCCCAGGAATCAACTCGAGCATGCAATACTACAAGTCAAACATGAGGCAGTTTCGAGAGTGTCCGCGATCCTGTTTCGAATCACTGTGACCCTGATACAGACAAGAGTCGTTTCATTTGAGCGCAAGAGATACAGCTTACCGAGACGCCTGCATGCATCGAAATTTGACTTTGAACCAATTGTATCCCGACAATTTTGTCAAAAATCTGAAAAGCGTAATAAAGAGCCCGTTGACCCATCCTCCAAATGACCAGGCATTGGTCGAAGAGTTGGGACATGTGGAGCCGACGTGTTGAAGGGCAAACTTCCGGACGCGGAGGAAGACATTGTTCTATTCGAGCAGGTTACAAAATTACAACCAGCAGACAATGCGGTTTTGTAGTTATCGATCTACTCACAGTAAATCGATATGATTTCCGTAAACATTATTTTAAACCACATTCCCAGGTTTTGTGCGTGTCGGTTGACCTGTCGTCACCGAACGGTGAATTCGGCCATTCTCTTCCACAGTGCTTTCCAGCCAGGAGCAAATGAACAAGATCATCGAGGTTCGTGAATGTGTTTCACAGGCATCTTTGGTCTCGGGTGATGCCCTAACGCATTTATAGGACACATGTGGTCATTGCAGTTCGAGGTAAACACTATCAGGTACACAACCAATCCTTACAACAAACACATCGGACGCACCCTGTGAGTGGGACACCGCTTTCCAAGATTGGTGGTAGCGGTGGGCTTGTTGGAGGAGCGACAGGAGGAGTAGTGCAGGTGTGGATTGACCAGAAAGTGGTGTACGTTGGGAAGCCAAAGCTGGTCAGAGACATAATTTTCATGGCTGCAGCACTCAGCGGAAAGCGATGAACATCTTTGAAAACCTATCTATTTAACATGATTAATTGAACAAACATTGTATATTGATGAATCACAATGTACAAACATAACCGAACGCTGTAAGAGAAGAGGTAGTCAATAACACTGACCAATTTCATATGAGACGAGAAGTGATCAACAAAAGAGGAGCTCAGACATCCAAGGAAGGTACGTCTATGATCCGTCATTAGGAGAGACACCTATCAGCGACAAAACCAGCCGACACGAAAAGCAAACACACACTCGGTGCACAAGATTCCATCCTCGAGTTTCCTCAAGGTGGGTCAGGAATCAATGCGTGCTTTGAGATACAGTGAGCCCGTGGACGCCAGTTGTCATATTGCGTCAAGGACCCCATAACTAGCCCTACGGTGGAAACTGCGAAGTGGAAACGAAAAACTTCATCGTCGCCCCCTAAACAAGAACAAAAAAGGGTACAATCTGCAAAAACTCACCTGGGTAAGGCAACCCGAGAGATCAGAGCAAATGACACCTATAGGAACGGAGAGTTTGTTTAGCAAAAGCATCTGAAAGAGTCGAAAGCGATGGGCGAGAAGAGAAAGCAAAGCGGAAGGCGGGTCAGGTTTCCTGGCTTGGAATAACTCACTCCGAAGAGTAAGCGCAGGTTTTCGGCATGGTCGATACGCCGGGGAAAGAATAGTGTCATCGTTCCCGACCTCCCACACAGATCACGCACAGAAGCATCGAACTCACCTGTAAAGAGATGTGACGGGTGGAAAGAGGGGAATTGAAGCCGAATTTATACAAGAAGAACAGAGGTAGTGGCGCAGAGAGACAGAAAAGGAAAGGAAAAGTCAGGAAAAGAGGGTTGGTAAATGTCGAAGGGAGACTAAGTGGGTTATGTGAGAGTCAGTCTGGGGAGTGCATCATTGCCGCACTCCGATCACATATTCAAGTATAATAATCAATATTAACAAATCGCTTCCCCTGCCATTAAGGGTCACGTGCCACTTACCCTTCTCGTCAAAACCCTCTTCACCTCAAAATCAACACTCGGCAATAATGGCAAACAAGTTCAAGGACGAGCAGGTGTCAGAGTTCAAGGAGGCATTCTCGCTGTTCGACAGCGATACCGACGGCTTCATTAGCTACGCTGGTGAGTTGATGTGACATTTTGCTGGCATATTCGAGATCCCTAAACGTTGTGCTCATCCGCTTTGGATGATAGAGCTGAACACCGTTGTTCGGTCTCTGGGTGCCAACATCACCAATGCCGAGCTCGCAGCCCTTGCCAAGGCCGTCGACACGGACAAGTCGAACAACATCGACTTCGCCGAGTTTATTGAGATCATGGCCCGCGCCAACGCCACTAAGACCGACGTCAACGCCGAGGTCAAGCAGGCCTTCCAGGTATTCGACAAGGGCAACAAGGGCTTCATCCTCGCCTCCGAACTCCGTCACGTTCTCACCTCCCTCGGCGAGAAGCTCTCCAACGACGAGGTGAACGAGCTCATCCGTGAAATCGACGTCGACGGAACTGGTCAGATCAAGTTCGACGCCTTCTCGCGCTACCTCCTCGGAAAGTAAACTTTCTTTCGGTACCTCGGAGCTCCTACCAAAAAAATGGTGAAAATAAAAGTGTGTGGGATTGGGAGCGGAATTGTGAATGGATATGTTTTGGATTTGGCGGGCAATCTTCCTTGACAATTTTGGACTTGCAGTTTCTGATTGTTAGAGCGCCTACCTTCTGGAGTTTGGGGAAAGCTGGTGTGGAGAGAGCACATGGATGTAAATTGTGAGTGTACCATCTTCTGGATTCCTTTTTGTTTGCATTTTGTAATGTACTTTATCCCCACATCAGGTATGCCCCCAACCCAACCCATTCTACCTTCATTTAACAGTCTCTTTCTTGACCTCACTCACTCACTAAAGTAGACATTTTCACTCTAATGTGAACGGTTCTTTAATTCTGTTCCGTTTTTTCTTCTTTCAATAAATACTATTAAAAAATTAAGTATTGATATCCCATCCCTGTCTCGAGGCTTGGTGTCAGCAAGATGTTGCGGTCAATCACATCGGCAGCTCAGAGCGACTCTCGGGATGCATGTATGGACTTTGTCACCAGATTCCCAGAAGAAACTGTCCTACAGATCTTCTCGTATCTGTCGCACTGCCAGTTGTCCGATATATGCTATCTTTCCGCTCAATGGAAGCGACTCGCCAGCGACAAATATGTAAGTTGCTTCATATCGAAAAGTTATCACATAACGTTGACTATTCTTTTCCTTGTGGTAGCTCTGGCGCAAACTTTATCTGTCTCGATTTGCTATCCCCGAGCACAGAGCGAAAAGGAGGAGGAAGTTTAGAGAACGGAATAGTTCTAAAGACGATTGCGGAGAAACGATGCCTTCTACATATGCGACACCTCCGTCTCAACGATATTCAATCATGTCCGATCTTCAGGTAAAGCAGAGTCTTGGTTCGCCACACAAAAGCATGCACTGATTCATTGTTTAAGGACTGGAAGTCGATGTATGTGATTCAACATCGTGTAAGGCTATGATATTCGTGGACGAGTCGTTTATTAATCTCTTTTTCCTATCAGTGGGATCTGGGCCAATGCAACGTCTTGAACATGGATATAGCAGAGAATGGCACATCACAAAACCACGAATTTGGCGCAATTTCACCCGGATCTCTTTCTCTGTTCCGTCGAGTGCTAGATCCACAGCGCGCATCGTCTATTCCGAACCCACTCGTCACATTCTGTAACAACGT